GGGGTAAAATTAAATTGAAAGGTGGGGGGGTGGGGTGGGGGGGGGGGGGTGGGGGGGTGTGGGTGTGGGTGGGGGTGTGGGTGTGGGTGTGGATGTGGGTGTGGGTGTGGGTGTGGATGTGGATGTGGGTGTGGATGGGTGTGGGTGGGTGTGGGGGTGGGGGTGGAAGTGGGACTGGCTGTGGCTGTGGCTGTCGGTATGGGGTGTGGGTATGGATGTCGGTGCGGGTATGTGGGTTTATGGATGGAGTATCAGTACGAATGTTCTTTTCATTTACACCCACACCCACTGCACACTCGCACCCACCCTGACTGCCACACCCACACCCAGACCCACACCCCACACCGACACCCAGACCCACACCCCAAACCTACACCCACATCCACACCCACACCCCATACCCATACCCACACCCACACCCACAACCACAACCACAACCACAACCACAACCACATCCACATCCACACCCACACCCCACATACACATCCACACCCGCCACTTTCAAATTAAATTTTATCACTATTCCAAGAATGCTAGTAACTAAATTTATCTTATGTGCTAGATGATATCGGAGTGTACATATTTTGTTTTGTGTGGTCGTAATTAATTTCGTCTTTGCATTTATTAGTGACAGCATTACTTGGTTTTTACCAACACAGGTATGTTTACGTAAACCAATGAAGCATGATTTTCATCAACTAGGCAGTTTTGTCTATCCATGTGCTAGTCATGACATGTATATCGTCCTTCATAAATTATTTCTCTTGTTTTTCGACTTCACTTTGTGCTTCGTGTTGTTGTGATGCGAAAATAGACACCGATATTTGTATACGCATAAATTTCAGTTTTGATGATTTATTTGCTTTAAAGGTTTTCATAATCAGGAGTGCGTGCGTCGCTGGTCTGAGTGCTGATGTAGGTATGTGCAATGGTTTGGTGCAACCATACTCTAATACAGCCATATCCTCGATATTACTTTTTTTGACAAATTTGTACACCATTGAAAAATGAAAATTCATAAGAATTTCCTTTTTTTTTCTTTCGACTGTTCTCATGTATTGCAAGTAGGATATGGTGAAATTAATTTAAAACGTTCCTTTTTTTTGTGAATTGCAGATTGTATCAGAACCTATTTCATTGAATGATTTTGTGAAAAGGAAAAACAAATATTTTCAGTAAGATATTACTCTAAAATACGCATTCGCTTTTTTAATATGAAGCATTTTCAAAACCGCATGACCATAGAGAAAGAAAGGGACCCCGAAATTATTACGCAAAATCACTGAGAGGAACCAACGTTAAGTCGACTGATCACTTGATCAGTATATATGAATTCTAGAAAAACATTTTGTACTTAGGCCAGACGTTGTCATGAAAGTTTTGAAATTGATTGATAACGAAGTTGATTAGACGGTGATAATAGATAGATAATACTAAGTATAGAAAGGTTTATACTGACGATCTCAGAGATTGATCATGTTCAGGTGAAATGATTACTTTTACCGAGAAGTTAATGAATTTAAAATATGAGGTGCCATTGGCGTGCCTAAACAAAGATATCCAATTTTTAAGTTATGCATTATTTTTGTATATAAAGACCATAATATTCGAACTATTCACATAAACTCTTTAATATAGTCATCAGAGTGTGGGTGTGGGTGTGGGTGTGGGTGTGGATGTGGGTGTGGGTGTGGGAGTGGGTGTGGGTGTGGGTGTGGATGTGGGTGTGGGTGTGGGTGTGGGTGTGGGAGTGGGTGTGGGTGTGAATATCTTCTTTCTATACCCACAACCACACCCCCACACCCACCCCCATCCACCCGCAACCCACACCCACACCCTCGTTGTGCGATTGTAATTTAAATTTAAATTTCTATTATGTTTCTTCTTGTTTCGTTCACATTATCAGTATATAATTATATTATAAGTCAGCGGCGGATCCAGCGGAGACATGGGAGCGGCGATCGTCCACGTTTCGCTTGTCTGCCACCCCCGTCAGAAATTTCTGGTTCTGCTATTGTCATATGCATAACGAGAAAAAACTCAACTTGGCAAATATTCTTCTCGTGTGTTTGTTTGTTCATGTTAGAGAGAGAGGAAGAGGAGGAGGTGATTTTGGAAGAATCCAAGAAACAAATAGACAACGCATCTCATGTAATAAAACTTTCGTCATTGCCTACATACAAAGTAAACGGGTGTCGCGTAAAATAACCAAAAAATAAATGACGTTGTTGGGACTTTTTCCTTGTCATATGTTGTTGATAATTATTTTTTCAGTTGCATCTAGATGAAGTTTGTCCTTGAGTATCAACAAGGAAGAAACCAACCAATACTTGACGTCATAGAAAAATTCATAAGGAAGCAATGCACATCAAATATATAAATAGAGAAGACGAACTCTGTCCAAACAGCAATATATGATTGTATCATACTCAATTATCAATCAAACACCAAAAATCATATTCAAAAGGAGTGAAGCAAAATGAAACAAAATAACGCAACATCGCCAACTGCCATGCGACGAAGACGACGTATGACTGAGAACTATATGGTTATTTGGGTTGATGGTAACATTGATCTAGAAAATGAAGATTATCAAAATACACTCGTGCAATTGCGTGATGTCGCCATCGACGTACTCATATGTACAGAAGCAACACAATGTATCATATTTCTAAATGACATGGATAATGAAAAAGTTTTCATTATCTCTTCTGGAACCATAGGGCAGCATCTTATACCAGATATTCATGACATGCCATATATACATGCTATTTACATTTTTTCTGACAACAAACAAAGACACGAAGCATGGTCTAAGAATTGGGGAAAAATCAAAGGTGTCTACACATCGATCACGCCTATCTGCGATGCACTGCAAATAGCTATCAAGCAATGCAATCAACATAATATATCGGTTAGTATTATGGATGTGAATGCAGATGGTTTTAGCGAAGATCTCAATCAGCTAGAACCTTCCTTCATGTATTCCCAAATATTCAAAGAAATCCTTCTCAATATGAAATATAGTCAAAATGCCTTCAGAGATTTGGTCAGATTTTGCCAACAAGAATACGAAGATGATAGTAGAGAACTCAAATTTATTGATGAATTTCAACGTACTTATCGTCCAACAACAGCAATTTGGTGGTATACGTCCGACTGCTTTGTATACAAAATGCTCAATTATGCATTAAGAAAACTTGATGGTGACATCATTATAAGAATGGGATTTTATCTTTGCGACGTACATAGAAAAATTACATATTTATATAAGAAGCAGATTAGTCAGTGTCATGGTCAAATCTTTCTTGTTTATCGAGGTCAAGGACTATCGACAACAGACTTCAAAAAGCTCACTAAAAATCAAGGTGGACTCATTGCTTTTAATAGTTTTTATCCACCAGTAAGAATCGCAATGTCTCGCTCGAATTCGCCATGGATGGCTTAGGAGCAACCGATATGGTCGGTATTCTCTTTCAAATGACTATAGATCCAAGTGTCTCATCGGTTCCTTTCGCCTCCATTCAAGAGGAGAGTTATTATAAGAAAGAAGATGAAATTCTCTTTTCCATGCACACTGTTTTTCGCATTGGTGACATTCGAAAACTTGACAACACTCGTCCACTATATCAAGTTGGTCTTAAACTTACGTCAGATGATGATCAAAAACTCCGTCAATTAACCAATCGTATACGACAAGAAACTGCAGGTGAAACTGGATGGCACCAATTAGGTGAATTACTCCTCAAAATAGGACAATTCAACAAGGCCGAAGAGTTGTACAAAGCACTATTAGAACAAACATCCAACGATAGTGATAGAGCATTTATCTATCACCAACTTGCAAATGTTAAAAAGAACCGAGGAGAATACAAAGAAGCAATCTCATTTTACGAAAAAGATCTGGAAATCATGAAAAAAATTATGTCTGCGAACCACCCTGATTTGGCTGCTTCCTACAGTAACATCGGTGGCGTGTATAGCGATATGGGGGATTATTCTAAAGCTCTTGAATTTTACGAGAAATCACATAAGATAAAAGAAATAGTCCTACCTACGAATCATCCGGAGTTAGCTGCTTCCTACAACAACATCGGTCTTGGCTATAATCACATGGGTGACTACTGTAAAGCACTTGAATTTTACGAACACTCACATAAAATTTTCCAACAAGCTTTGCCTCTAAATCATCCTGATGTAGCTACTTCTTATAACAACATTGGTAGGACGTATCATAACATGGGCAATTATACAGCAGCTCTTAAGGCTGTTCAGTATGCTCTTTATATCCAGCAAAAAACATTTCAAGAGGATAATGCAGTTTTCGCTTTTACATATACTTGGTTCGGAAGAATTTATTGCAGATTGAAAAATTACTCAAGGGCACTTGATTATTTTGAAAAATGTTTCGCAATAGATCGAAAGACGTTACATGAAAGACATCCCAAGCTAGCTATTACATACAGTAATATGGGTGATGTTCATCGATTAATGGGAAATTATGAAAAGGCACTTTTCTTTCATCAAAAAGCATTAAATATACAAGAAAATGTTGAATGTAATCCTCTAGATTGTGCAACAACATATAAGAATTTAGGTGAAACTTATCGAGAAATGAAGCATTATTCAAAAGGACTGATATATTATGAAAAAGGATTGAAAATATGTGAAAACAGACTACCGAAAAATCATCCTGATTTATCTGTAATGTATCATAGTTTGGCAAAATTATATTTGGCTACTCGACAATATAATATGGCAATGAAAAATGTTCTACAAGCAATAGAAATAGCTCAAGAGAAATTGCCATCAACTCATCCTGATCTTTTACAGTATAAAGAGACATTGGAAAAAATTCTAAAATTGGAAATTTTTTACTAGTTTGCTCAATAAATTAGTAATTAGTTCTATTCATTCCGCTTTTTGATTTTTCTCATAGAATATCATGAATGTTAAATTGATTCAAAACACAACGAAAAAGTTCCATAGGAATTGTTAGAAGAGATGCACTTTGTGAAGCGAATAAAAATGAATTTTCCATCACCAATATCCAAGAAAAGACACACAAAAACTCTCAACACTAAGTTTAGATTATTGTGTCATTGTTTATTATTCAGATTATACATATATCTTTCATTTTGGTCGTTTCGTATGGGGTGTAGGTGTGGGTGTGTATGGGTGTGAGTATGGGTGGATATGAGTGTAGAACGAAAGCAAACCAACACCGACACCCACACCCACACCCACACCCACCCACACCCACACCCACACCCACACCCACACCCACACCCACACCCACACCCACACCCACACCCACACCCACACCCACACCCATATTGATAGATANGTAGATTCTTATTTTGTGGAACTCACATATATTTTCGAAGAAAACGATGAGTGTAAGTTTTAAGTCGAAGCTTTTAGGGCTCCTTCTCCCTACATCCTGAGGAGGTGTTAGTCTAGAATGTAAAAAATTCGTTTCACCCAGCAATAGGGCTATGAAAGGTCATTGCGTACAAATTCCCCTATCAACCATTTTTTGTAATAGAAAAATCTCTGATGCTACTGCAATATCTTTTATTTTATATCGAAGCACGTGAGATCCACATTTTTAGCTGCGAAGAAACAGGGGTGTGGGTTGAAAGAAGGTCCGTTTACAGCATAGAAAATATATTATCTCAATCTCAATCGTCGCATAAGTACAAGAAAATATAGTTTGTAGATAAATAAACCTGGAGTCGAATTCATAAATACTGATTTTCTAAAGTAAACAAAGTGGCAGATACATAGATTTTTATCTATTCTATTAAACATGTCAATTGGATATATTAATTTTTCTATTTTATTCAAATGATAGATAATTTTCTAGCAAAATTATTTTATTAAAGAAGAAAAATAGAAATAAAAATGTTTTGAATAGAGAAATGATTCATTTAGTGTTTTTCTTTTGTTTGAATTGACTACGATTAAATCGTGCTGCGCCATTTGTAAAGTTGTTCGTTACAATCACTAATTTTTCATATTGTATCACAAGTTTCTGAAGACATGGAATACATATGTAATTGCATGACGTAGAAATGGACGTGTATCGTATAATATCAAATCAATAGCAAATTGAAAATGATGATCATGAAATCTATTAGTAAGATGTATAAAACGAATCATTTTAAGCAGTACTGAATAAATATGACAACAAGTGAATCCATCTAAGGAATGATTAACACAATAATTAACTGGAGAATATTTCCAACTACTAACATATAAGTAAAAAATCTTGGTATAAAATTTCTGTTTGATTTTCGTCCACTTATAAGTTGCAGGAGAGAATCAAAAGTAGTCAGCTACAATGAGAATTTCATGCTCTTTCTACACATATATTCAAATTGTTTGCTGGCTTGAAGTTGATTCATTAAGAGCAAATATTTGACGGAGACAAAGAACAACATTTTTACAGATTATTTCATGCAGTACATAAATATGTATTTTGATTAAAACTGCCTCAATTCAAATTACAGGTAAACCTCTTTATACATGAGTTTGCAGAATAAAGCTTGCTCTACAAAATATTGAATTTGCTTTGTTTCCAACATATCATTGGAAATGATCAGAATCTGTTACATTTTAAATACCAAAATTCGCAAAAAACAATTATTTTGAAAAAATGTTTCTAACTTTTGAGTCTTTCAAGTTCTAGCTTATTGCAATTCATGATTTTGTATAATATTAAATTTTCCACAACAATAGAAAATGAAAATTACGGATGGGAGAAAAAAAGCCTGGTTTATCTGTTGTAAACGATATTTATTATTTGTTCAGGTATTTGCTAACAGCTGACTAGCGGTAAGTCAGAGTGAAATTCTAAAGATATATATTTCGAAGAAGCATTAAATTCTCTCCTGTAGTGTATAAGTGGACGAAAATCGAACAGAAATTTTGTACTCAGATTTTTTTACACAGCTAACATGTATTTTGAATATCATTTGACGGTCATAAGCATTTGTGTGTAAAGCACTGATCAAAGAGAATTCTTTTAGATTTGATAAAACTTTTTATAAAAAAAAAATCTACGTATAATTATCTATTCATAATTTTTGATAGTACACATATCGTACTATAACTAAAATTTACCAACTTAATGATTATCAGGCGTCATTAGTGACCTTTGAATGGACCTAATATTTTCAGCGAATGAAAATAATTGATCTAGACGACCCTCAAGTAAACAAAGACAATCATCTAGGATTTCCAGATTAATAAGTATTCGGAGGTCGATTGAGAAGCGAAAGTTGAATACTATTGCCTTTTATCCATCGATTCATATTCAAATGAAACAAATTTGTACAGATGGCAAGAATACGTGTACATGCATCTGATCTGATCTAGGAACAAGCGAGCGATCGACGATTCTTCTAATAATATGATTATATTGGTATTCATAGTATGATGATAATAAAAGACTTTCTTTATCTGTTAAATAATCTAAAAGTATATTCGGTTGAGATATTACAAAGCGAATCATACAAAGATCAGGATATTGGCAAGCAAGGAGAATGCGTTCCATAGAAATCATCAATTTCTATCTGCTGCATCCATTAATCTATTGTCGATCCTTTCTATTAATTATTTACAAAAATCTAAGAAAAATCATCATCTCAACAATATGAAAACAACTACAAACACGAATGGAAGTCAAAGCAAAGATAGTTAGGGTGTTTAAACACGTTTTAAAAAATTTCTTGTCTGCTTGGAAAATTTTCTCTGGCATCGGAATATAATATTCAAGGAAATATAAACTCATTGTCATAATCAAAAATCTTGGGTGTGCGTGTGGGTACGGGTGTGACTTTGATTGAAAAGAGAATACTCACACCCACACTCCACCCTATTCGAAACATCTACAAAACAGCTAAAGAAAATAAAAATTCGTTTAAGTAACAAAACACTTCGTTTGCGATGATTGTGAACTAGATTAACATGGAAGAATATTGCAAAGAAATTACATATTTTCCAATGGTTTTTGGTGTATTGCCAAAAGACATAATTCCAATAAGATTTGATCAGACTCGTCAACAAAATAAAACATTATTTGCATCAATGTTTGAAAAAATATAATAATATTTGAAATATCACTATTGATCCTTACAAGGTTTTTTTACTGGTTGATAAAATAGTCGAACTGTGAATTTCTATTTTTCTACGGATAAAAGACGATTTGTGTGAGCGTGGGTTCGCTAAGAGTGTGCTATGGGCGTGGATGTAAGGTAAACGAAGACGCACATTCACACCCAACAAATTGGATGATGATATTTTGATCTCAAATTTCGCTCATATGTAAGTCTTAAAACTCACTCATATTCCACGAAAGATGCCAGAATTTTGTTTTCTTTTGAGCTAAAATTTTCAGGAGACTCTTATCACAAGTAGATCTATGTGTGCACAAAATATTAGGTGAAAATACCGTTATTCGATTGGTTGGTACATACTATGTCATAAGCTAAAAGGCTTTAGGATGCTTATCTTTTTGCAGATTTTTCATATCTCACTGGAGTCTATCCTATGTAGTCTCAGAACTCAGAAAAGATTTGTCAGTTGAAACGATTCTCTCATCAATACGGTTACTTTTGTTCTTCTCTTCAATTTTTTTACATTGATCTCATTTCAAATTCTCTGCTTTATTTGTCACTGTTGATGAACTTTTTCTTTTTTGTTTAAACTTTTATAGGCGTTCATTTCTAGAAGTTATCATAAATGAGGATTGTTTGCTCGAATATGATCTGAAAATATAAACTTCTTCTGATTAATGATCATTGCTCAACACTTGTAAGAATTTTGAAAAACAAAGTTGTTTAATCAAATTCTTGAGTTTTTAAAAAATAAAAAAGCGCCCTCCGTTTTTATTCAAGAAGAAAATTTCTCTAAGATCAAAATTACTTTAGATTAAAATTCTCATAAAAATGTTTTATTATTGAATATATTCAATGCAACATCTGCTTTTAGAACGAGTTATTTCACAATAAAAGTATTTTTTATACGAAAATGTCATAATAATCTGATGACAATGGGATTTGTTATGTGTTGTAGTTACCATCTATATGACATAATAGAAGATAACGAAAATAATTAATTCATCTAATAATCACATTGAAGATTAGTAAACAATTAAATATTGACTATAAACAGTCTCTACTATTGATATTACAGCACATTTGCAAGTCTAATTAGCGAAATAATGTGTATTTGGAATTATTTCAGTAAGTTTCTGCTGTTTTCAATGACTAAAACGAACAATGCTAATGAATCACTTTTTATTCCCTATTATTGCACATCCATTTTTTATTCGTAAGTCAATTTATTAAATTCATTTTTTTTTGAATCTCTGAAATATAATTACGGAAGATGATCTAAAGTGATCTAAAAAATTTAAATTGTGTGGTGAACAACTGCAGTCAAGTGAGGAATTTTGATTGTTCGAGTATAATTATTGTTTTTTTTAATGCGAATAAAATGGTATTTAGCACGGAAGACTGTGAATGAAATCAATCGACCTGCACTTGATGGAAACACAGCATTGTATGCAGGTATTGTATATCTATTAGTTTGCCGCTTATACTCAATTACTGGCTTAACTACTATGCTTATGAATATGTAGATAGTGTTTATATGATGTGATAAGCATTATGTTTTTATTTATTTCATACTCTCCAACTCATGCACTCCTCATTTGATTGGAGAAGATAACTTGCAGCTTTTATTAACATGTCGAACAGAACTATCATTATTTTGATCTTATTAGTCATCATTGATTTTATTCTTGTGCTATGGACTATTCTTCTGCCAAACTTATTATGTGCTCCAGCCTCAACAATTCTCCGACAGTACTGTTTCTGGAGGGCAATACAAATGGTCCAAACCTACATCGATAAAACGACCATCAATAAAAATAATTTGAAGTGAAGCTTTCGTGGATGACACAGTGGCCACCATAAGCTACATAACAAATAAACACAATGGAATTTATTTCAGTGTCAATTTATTAGTTTTGTTACTTTATTTACATTTTTTACAGATTCTATACTTTATCTCAAGTTTTGAAATGCAGGGCGATCTTGTGGCAGTGAACATTGCAAAATGTCAGCAGTACGCTGGTAATTCTGTAACGCTATCATGTGTCACAGCGTAGGATACACAATTTTAAATAGTTACGCATCGAATAGTCATGTTTACATGATCAAAATGATCTCTCTATTGTTGTGAACATGGCTGGGATCATTCAAAAGCGTTTACTATACGAAGGTGCTTAATTTAGAGAATTGGGGCATAATTTGTTGTGCCATTAAGAGAAAATTCTAGAAGATCTGCCTCTGCACTAGTCCAGCATAAAGACTTGGTTATCTATTCTTTTCTTCATCTATTTCCATCTGAATGATTTGAATTGAAAGATTTTTCTCTTATATAATACAAAACTTAGTGTTTTTCAGAAATTCTCTAATTTTGTTTGTCTTTTTGCTTTTGAATTAATATATGCTACTAGCCAAAAATACTCCCTTCGAACGTCAGTTATTACAATAGCTAAATGTGTGTGTGCGGTTAAAAACCTACTCACATCCTCACGACGATGCTAACTATTGGAAAAGATTCAGTGTCATAATCATGCATATTATTACTCTTATGATCAACTATAGTTAGACTCAAACAGGGACAGACACAATAAAAGTCCTGTTTGTGAAAACAGTTCGGCATTTTAAAAAAAAAGTGCGAAATAAAGATTTTCCAAATGTTGGAAAGTATTTTTTTTTTCATATGGAATGATTCTTTGAACTATCTAGAATCTTTGATGGTGAAGTAATAAACGAATGAAATCCGAAAAAATTCCGCATCTCCACTAAAACCTTTATTGGTTCCTCGTGGCATCTCTTTGTTTTCGAGAGTTATCGCACTGTTTGGATATTGCCGCATTGAATCCTATTGAAATGCCAGACTTCTTTTTAAGATCTAGAAATATGATCTCAGACCAAATTTAACTTTAATTTAAAAAATTTTTTTCTCTAGATAGTAATCGAATAGTAGCTCATCAATCCAGGCATTTTCAGGGTTTGTAGAGCTTTTAATTCTAACAAATTTTTCATTAAAAAAATTCAAAAAGTGTTTATTTTATACGGAAATATACTTCAAACATTCCCGACAGTACAATTTAAAAATATCTGTACAAGAACATTTTTTGCTCAATTTTTTTCCCATTGTTTTCGGTAGTTTTGTGAATTAAAACAAGATTCAGCGTCATTTTCAGATTTCTCGGAATGGAACGCATCTGACCACATTAGACGTAGCTTGAGTTAGAAAAACAAGAGTCTCAAATACAGTTTGACTGATCACTGACTACATAAAAATACAGTACTATTTTGTACTTACGATTATTCCAAAAAGCTGAATTGCTCAACATGATGGCACATTGTATCCGATAGAGCGCCACTCACTCCAAACCTCTGGCAGTACAGAAGTACCAGCGTTTTTGATACTGTTGAAATATTGAGTCAACTTTGTGAAGTAATGTTTTCAACACTCCTCTAATAGAGGGTTTGTCACATAGCCGTTGGAGAAAAGCATTCATTTTCATATTTACTTATCTCAAATGAAAGGTCCAGTCGAACTACAATCAAATAAAAAATATTAGATCATTTGAATGTGAATGTGAATGTGAATGTGACGTGAAACCATTCACACCTACTCTGAAAATGATTGAAAATTATCTGGAACGTCTTACATTGAACGTGGGATATCTTAGGTCAGGATTCAGATTTTTCCAGAAAGAATTCACCACAAACAACTTTTCAACCGAGATAAACAACTTTCCAAGCAGATATTCACGCGCTCTGTCTTCCACGACCGTCCTCTTCACATGAAAATGTTCATGAGATCTGATAACCCATAAAAACTGCAAAAAAATGGCCTAAAATACCATGAAATTCCGTAGAACCCGTCGCGATTCGCTGAGCAGAACTTTCCGACGTAGTGATAGAACTTTACACATAGATCTCGACGCGCTCTATCGAATCGACACCTTTTGAGTTCGAATAGATGTTCGGGTCAGCCACAAACCAGCCAAACCCGGGCGCGAATCCTAGGTTTTACTGGAACTTCCGTCGCGATTCTCCAAGAATAACTTTCCAACGTAGTGATAGGCCTCTTCAGATAGATCTCGATGGGATCTATTTAGGAAGTAGCATGGTTATGCTGGAAAAGACTTCTGGACCAATCGCGGCGGAGTTTTCGGTAAAACCTAGGATTCGGGCCCGGGTTTGGCTGGTTTGTGGAGAGCCGAACATCTGTTCAAGCTCAAAAGGTATCCATTCGAAAGAGCTCGATGAGATCTACTTGAAAAGTTGCATGGCTACGTTGGAAAGTTGTTCTGAGTGAATCGCGACGGGTTTCGCGTAAAACCTAGGATTCGGGCCGGTTTGTGGCGGACCCGAACATGTATTCGAACTCAAAAGGTTTTTATTCGATAGTGGACGTGAAGATCTACTTGGAAAGTTGTTTATCTCGGTTGAAAAGTTGTTTGGGACTAATCCATTCAGGAAAAACTCGATTTCTGACCTAAGATATCCTATGTATCCTAAATGTGAATTTTTTTTTCTAAATTAATAAATTATTGACAATAACAAAGAAACATACAAGAAATCCATAAAATAAAATAAATTTTCAGAATGTTTGTTGTACGATTAGAAATTTTCAAGTCTTTCTCCACAGGAGTTGTGAACCAAACTGCAGCGTGTTATCGTGTCATAGCCTGCTCTTTGTTTTTTCGTCAAATACTCTTATCTTTTCATTCTTTTTTAAGAAGATCAGATACAGGTGTCCTCCACCAAATGATACTCAGTAGTATTGCACAATCTCAGTTTCTAAAGTGAAATAGAGGAAAGTACACAGGTTTACATTCAGAAAAAGCCAAAATATATACAGACATCTTTTTACATTTATGCTGAAAATAAATCAGGGCTTACATCAGCTTTCACTCATTTAATCTTCTTTGTACACATTCTGGATGTCTTATCGTCGGTTAACACTTGAAGGTCTTCCCGACAAAATTCAGCTTATGATTTTTAAATATCTGTCTCTTTACGACTGGTATTATTCATTCTTTCTGCTTAATCGTCGCTATAATCATCTTATTAAATATATCACACCAGTCAATATCAATACAAAATGGTTAGATCATGATATTGATCGATTTGGTATACTCATATCAGCGTATTGGGTTTGGAATAGTAGGTTTCTATATTTTCTGATACCAAGACTTCAAGCAATTCAATCGAATATTATTCAATGGTTATTCTTAGCACCAGATTCTCTTGAGCAAACCATAAAGCAACTTGATAAACGTGTTGTTCATATTATTAAGAAATACAAAGTTCAATCCAATGCTCCTGATTTTCTTGTTAGTAAACCAAATTACTATTTCTGTTCGATATCTGACGATTTACCTTATCTTGAAGAATGGATTAGAGAAAACTATCCGACACAGTATGAAGTTATACGAAATTCTGGCCCACGTTATCACTTGCCAAAAAGAATAAATCATCATGATGGAAAATATTTGGAGATAAAACAAGCTCTAGCAGAAGTACAACGTCTAGAAAGATTGAAGCGAAAGAATATGATCTATGAGTGTGCACAACAAATATGGGCTGAATTGAGAGGATTAAGCGATGTGAATTTATTGGATTTAGTTGTTGAAGAGTAAATTTGACTTTTTTTATTTCTTTGTATTAGTCATAAACTTTCATAGATTTCAATAAATATCCCTGTCGAGTCATGTTGCATTTTTCTTTTCATTTCATAATCTCAAATATGAATTGAAATGTCCGACGTTCTCTTGGAAATAACCTGAATGCTAAATGTGGATAGGTATGAGAGTAGATGTGGATGTTGAAGTCGAGAAGATCTACATCCACACTCTCCCACTTTCACACACTTCAAGAAAACTACTCTAGCTGACTTCTGTCTGTACACAAAGTCTCAGCTCAAAATTCTAAAATACAAGATTTCCGCCAACCTGGGGTTCAAAATGCAGACATATTAACAATTCGATAGCTTAGACAAATGTCTATAAGAACCGAAATTCTTTTAGGGTTGTTATTAAAACATTATGTTGTATCCATAGGCAAAAATCAGTGAAATCGGAAAGAAGTAACTGAAGAGATTTCCTCTTTAGTCACTCACTGTTTAGGTAAACAGTCAAATCAAGTGAATTCAAGAAAATGAAAAAAAAAAAGTCATCAGGAAACTCACAATGTTAATGCATAGGTTATGGATTAAGATGAAATGGTATCTGGTTTTTTGAGATGTAAAAAGAAAGAATTGAAAAGTTCTTCATTAAAATCAAGACTAAGACATTCATCATTAATAATGATGAAACAGTCAAATAAATAAACAATCTATTATTTTATGTTTTTCAATTAAAAAATGTCAATATTGATTTCTTTGATGATTAATTATCAATTGATCATCTGTTACTTGGTGAAAGATACACATAGACTTTGTATATCGATTAGAAGTTATTTATTGTTACACTTATTCGTTAACAAGATTTAACGCATGACTAAATGTTCGTATTCAGGTCATCAACTTCTTAAATAAACTAAGGAAATGAAGTCAATTATTATCATACGATGCGAGAAAATTTTTTCTATTAACAATTGACTGATTTCTTCAAAAGGGAAAAAACGGGTACTGAGGCTATTCGGTCGAGTGCAGAGAGGAAGAGAAAAAGAAAAAAAAAAAAAAGAAAGAACGAAACCATTTGTTATATCGATTGAAGTTGAGTTATATGCCGTGCAATTAACAAACAATTTTCTCTTTCACTTCACTCTTATATCCATTTATTCATTGACACAATGTTGTTCGGTGTATTTTTCTTATGTGTCTTTTATTCGTTAAGTAAAGCCTATGATTTTTTTCCATTAACAATTAATCGTTGTCAACCAATTCCATCAAATTTTACATTGTGTTATGGACTTGGTTATACACAAATGTATTTACCAAATTTACTTAATCATGAAAGTATAACTGAAATATTATATGAATTACCATTATGGGAATCACTTCTTAATTTGGAATGTCATTCAAATGCTCGATTATTACTTTGTTCAATTTTAGCACCAGTTTGTCTTCAACAAACACATGAAAGATCGACACTTGTTTCATTTGATAATAATCAAGATTCGATGATTTCAATGACATATGAAAATAAAAAATTTTTATATCCATGTCGTACACTTTGTGAATCAGTTAAACAAAATTGTGAACCAAGAATGATAAATCAATTTGGTTATAAATGGCCAAACATGAGTAAAAATTTCATTTAAAACAAAATAACAAAAATAAATAAATGATCTATACTTTTTATTAATAATATTTTAGTTGCTTGTGAACAATATCCAGGAGAAACAGATCTATGTGTTTCGCATTCATCATCATCAACAACAACTAGTACATTACCGTCAACAACAACAACAACAACAACAACTATTAAAAATTTGAATTTATGTTCAATGTGTCAATCACGAGCAAGTGTAAGTGATTTACTTAATGATTATTGTCGTTCATCAATTGTCGTTCGTACACGTCCGATTAAAGTATCATCAATATCGGAAAATAATTTTATATTTGCAAATAAATATAAAGTTCGATATTTTAAAAGATTAGATAATAAACAAATTAAATTTGATTTTTCAATTAAAAATTGTTCATGTATTAAATTACATTCGCCAACTATTTTATTTCTTTCATCAAATGGTGAAATTATTCGATTTATATCAATTAAACGAAATCCACGAGTTTTTAAAAGATTTCGAAATACAATTGTCTTACGAAAACCTCGTTGTCAACGTCGATTATAAATGTCACTTAACTTTTCTTCTTTTTTTTCTATGTGACATTTAGGTAATAAATATCATTGTAAACGTCATCAGTTTTTTGTTTAATAAATTTCACACTCAAAATTCAAGCAATATATAACTATAAGATTTTATGTATTTCATTCGATACTTGATCAACAATATTCATTAATAAAAAAAAAGACGAATAAAGAATTATAAAATCTGTTTATCATATAAACTTAGCGAATGCTTGATGTTGTATTCTGATTCTTGTATTTTTAAATATATGAAGCGTTAAATTGGATTTCTTCCTGTTAGTAATTTGATTATAACCAATGAAAAAGAGTCGATTTATACTATGATGCTTTGCTGTGATAGGCTTGCAATTAAAATCTATCCTTATCTCGTTTTGAAAACATTACTCGTTTAAAGAAACATCTATTTTTATTGATGACTAAGAATGTTGTTTTCCATAAAAAAAAAGAAACCAGCAATTAAAAATGAAATAAAACTGCTGTTTCTTCGAAAAACGCTAACTATTCATTTTTTCTTTGCCATTTAACAATCAGTTATATTAGTAATCCAGAGATTTTTGTTAACATTGAATTGATAAACAAAAAAAAACGAAGTTGCTATTAGCTCTTTTCTTCATAAGACATATTCAATTCAATGTTTCATGCGATTTATTTACAATTAGTTTTTAATTAGTAGATGGATGATTTCGATACAATTCCGAAAATACAGTAGTTGCAAAAAAGTCTCACTACAAAGGACTAGTCAGGACTTGATCGGTCTTCATGTGAAGAAGCAAGAAGGTTAACATAGATTTTTTGCTTCAGACAAGAATAGTTCAACATAGAAAAAAACTATTGACGTTAGATCCTTCATTCGACAGCTCACCGTTGTCTCTATGACCAATAAAAAATTTCATGTCAAACGGTTTCAGTTTACCTGACTTATGCAGTAATCTTTGGGTAATTTTCACATAAGAGTTGACAAGAATCATCGAAAAATGACCTTTATCATCGACTAATTTTACGCTATAGCCTTGGAAATTTCATCATAGCAGCAATTGATTGAGAAGATATCCACGCTAAGGACATCTTAGACAACAAAAACTTCTTTGCTCCTCAAGTTTACAATGGATTGATATAGACATGAGAATTTTTATTTGTTTAGTAGAAAATGGAGTTTAACGTATTTAAATAAAGGAAAATGAAAACAGTGGATTAGGGTTTACCGAGCTCTATTTATAGTCAAAATTCGGTCTTCTAGGTTCGATTTCTTTTTTAGACAGACGCAACAGTTTTATAATTTATATAATTCTTCGAATATATATCAAGTTTAGTAAATGATTTTGACTCTTTCGTAGTACGAGCATTTCATTAGATAAAGCTAGAATTTTTTTTTCCCAGTCAAAATTTTTCTGCGCTTTGATCACACAGCTCAAAAGATTCTTTAAGAACTCTTAGCTTTTGAATGCATACAAAAATCGATATGAATGATCTCGAATCGGTGTTACTTCAAGAGTCAATATGAATGCAATGGTAATTATGAAAGTATATAGTTTAATTCTTGACAAAAAAATTTTATTAGGTCAACTTAAAAAAACATAGATCCCGCTCTGGTCAAAGTTCAAACTTTGAGGAAAGCTGTAAAAAAATTTTTGTTTGAAATAATTTATGTTTAAAATAATCGTAGAATTTCAAGTTCTTTATTCTATATCCTTTTTTCTGCATAGTAATATAGTTCCAATAATATCATCGCATAAAGGAAGCGCATGTCTAAAAGAAGAGAGACAGATACCTAGATATAAAAATAGAAAAACTGAACCAGCGGAAGAAAGATGAGTACGAATGTTTGGAGTTAACTCTTTTAAAACCGAGGCTAATTTTTTTGACGATGAGAAAAAATAGATTACTAAAAGAAAGATTTTGGACACACAGTATGACCATATTATAGTTAGAAAAGCTAATTTTTTCTTCTAGGATTCTATTTATTTATTTTATATAACATTAAGAACCAAATCGATAAATCAATTGAAATTTTTTAACACTTCTGTACTCGTCGTTTCATTATAACACTATTGCGTGAATCCAACGAAATGCCGGGAAATCGATCTTATGAAGGGCAACAGGATTATCTCATGATTTCGATAGTGGTCTGAGCGCACCGGTGTAGTAGTTACTGAATTCTCTCCTGCGATCGAATCAGAACTGTCATGAAGCGCTCAGAATTGAAATGAAATCAGTAACTTCGTCAAAGACGAAATGAAATTTTTGAAGATTGAAGGTGAATGCGGCCATCCCCTGATCCGATCTTGCGATAGTTTGTCTAAGAACTCAAAGTAGTCAAGAATTTGTTCAGATAATACTTCAAACAGTTTTTCTATTATTCATGAATTGATAGAATATTTCATGTTGTTAAAATCAAATGTTCCTTTCAAAGGATATTTTATTCATAATGTCGCAATGAGTAAGTCGTTTAAAAAATTTCAGAACACTTTCATCAGATAGCTTACGATTGTGCTAAGAAATATCATTCAAAAAGAATATGAGTAAACAAAGCTTTTAGATTAAAAAAATAATTTTAAGAAATTATAGATTTTAAAGATTCTACTGTATCATCTAACAGTGACGTAAGAAGTATTTGATTTTTACTTTGTAATTTATGAGATCATCTTAGTCAGGGAATATACTAGTTTTTGCAGACAAAGTTATTGCAAATGTCTCTTTGATAAGAACATTTGGCTTTTAAGGGTTAATCAAGATTCTGAGACAAATCCATATTTCTTTTCAATAGAATTACTATCATGTTTTTTGGATAATTTTTTTTGCAATGAGTTTTTTCGATTCGCGAACACTTTAAAACATATGAAAATAACTCGATTTCGCCACTCAGTCTTTTCAAAAAGATCATTATCATCTCATGAAATTCAAAACAATGTTCTTTGATACTTCTGACGATGAAAATGGTTTACATTGGTGATTAATAATTAAAGTCATGCTTTTCAGAAAGTATAACTAATGCGAAATTTCTAGTTTAAAATATTAAGTTTTTGAAAATTAATTATGTTTATGCAATTGAGAGTATTCAACGAAGCGAAATTTTTTAGCTAATTGATAAAAACCTTGCTCCTGCGTTGATTCTCTACAAAAAAAAAACCATTACGAAACATAAATTATTATATTTGTTAACGATGTTTTCTTGTTGTCCAACATAGTCATGTTGATGACGCACATGAAAAAACAAACTCTTCAAACATAAAAAGAAAAGTAAAAGATTGCTTCACTACAGAGCACAGGTTTTTTTGGTCAAGTATCGTGTATGTTTAGCAGTTTATTGCAAGGTCAAACAAATTTCATTTTACTTCGTAGTTAGTTCGAGTAAAAACGCCATATAATTCAATATTTTTGAGACAAAAAAAAGTAGTTAAAAGTCTACTGCGTGTTTTTTCTTTAATCTTTCACTGGTAAAAACCAAATAATTGCTAAGTATTCGAAAATGTCATACTTCTCCCCTTTCTACAATCAAACTAACGAACACCTTTTCGACAGTTTGGAGAAACAGAAAAAAAATATATTCAACTTCTTCTTTCTTCTAATAGGTTGCAAATTTATCCACTCAATCATATAATTTTTCTGTTCTGTTTTTCCTATTGTTGAGAACAAAAAAGTTGTTGTTGTTATGGCTCCTTGACTGATTTCATCACTTTAAAGAACACAAGAAAACAATGAGTCATAAAAGCAAATTTGATCAAAGAAAAGCGACATGTGATAAGAGTAAACATTTATTTTAATCGAAAGAAGCAAGTTTTATTTTTGATTTATATTAAAATGTTGACATGTTAATCAAATTTTTCTTTGAAAAGAAACAAAAACTGCAATGGAAGCACGAAACTCTTTTTTAATTTTTAATTGATTGTGTACTCTCATTATGTCTGACGAACACAATTAGTTATTCATTATTCTCATCATTTTGTTATTATAATAGAGTTATTCTAGTATTTCTTGCAATTCTGATAAAAGTGAATAGAGCAAAATATTTTAAAACTTCTTAACTGACGACAATTCAGAAATCAAAGCATTAACAATACCATGGGATGTCGATGTAAGAATTCATATAATATTTTACTAACTACTATTTATTTAACTTTAATTAAAGAAAACTTAATTATTATTATTCATTATTGAATAGTGTTCTTTCTTATTTTAGCCTCTCAAGTTGAATCGTCAATGTATTCTGAGTCTTACTCTCGAGGAGGTAATTTATTAATATCTTTTTTTCTTATCTTACAAGACACGTTGCTTCATAACAAAAATCTTAAAGTTTTGATTTCAGTTTTCTATAGAATTTTTGCTATTCTAAATAAATTTTAAGAAATATAAGATATTAAAATAGAAGCTGGACAGTTGCTTGCTAGGACACTTGCTAGCATATGTGAATGTGAAATAAGTAGTTGTAGAGGGGACACGGAGAAGAAAGTGTGAATATGATGAAAGTGGCTGTAGATGTGGCGGATTGGGGTGTGGATGTTGATCTGAGTCTTCTTTTAATCCACACTTATACCATCATCCAAACACATATGAGCAAGTGTCATGGAAAGAAACTGTCTGAGGTCAAGAGAAAAAAGCAAGACTTCCGTACTTTGAAGTAAGAGTGAAGCACAAATGATGTATAAGCGAAGTACGATAAAGTATGAATGGAGTACAGTGAAGTGCGAATAAAGAATGGTACTTCATTCGTACTTTACTGTACTTCATTTGTACTTCAGAGTAACGAAGTCTTGCTTTTTTCCCCTTGTCTTATATCCATCAGATCGACAGAATTTTTTTTACTTGTGATGAAAATATGTTTTCTAATTTTACAGAATATGAATAACAATTTAATATTTAGATTTAGATATGCATTGGTTAAATCCTATGTTCCATGACAAAACTCAACAGACTATTCGAAGACCCCATGAACTTAAACCCTACTTATCTGATCCTCCTCAATATGTTGATAAAAAATTACTAGATCGTATTCTAGGTTCTCTAGTCGGTCTAGCTCTAGGTGACGCTCTTGGTGCTCATGTTGAATTTAGACCTCATCAATACATGATTGACAACCCAGTGAAAGACCTACAATCTGGAGGCACATGGGGTCTTCAAAAAGGACAGGTAATGTATTAATGAAAGCAGAAATCAAAAGAGGATTAAAAAAAAAGAAACTTAATGTATTTATAATCTAGTTCACTGACGATACTTCTATGGCGCTTTGTTTGGCTATTTCATTAATCATGCACTGCAATTTTAATCCATACGATCAATTAGTTCGTTATAAATGGTGGTACAAATATGGGTATATGTCATCAACAGGACAATGCTTTGATATTGGATCATCAACTAGGCAAGCTTTAAATGAGTTTGAACGTCGTCAACGGCAATTTTCTCAGAAAAATGAAATCTCTTTGGAAGATTTAGATTTCCATACTAACAAGCAGACTTTGAAAGATTTCGATGTAAATTGTGGGAAAAATGAAGCAGCTGGCAATGGAGTTCTTATGCGTCTCGCACCAGTACCACTCTTCTTCTGTCGAAATCCGGAAAAAGCTGTAAAATATTCAGGTCGCAGTGCTATAACAACTCATGGCGATCGAAAAGCTTATGATGCGTGCCGTTTTTATGGTGCTCTAATCGTAGCTGCTATAGAAGGTAAATCAAAACAAGATTTATTACATCGTGATTTCTACAAGAACCATCAAGAATGGTTTGGTACTTCACCGCTTCATGATGATGTTATAGAAATTGCTAAAGGATCTTACAAGAAAGAAAATGGTTATGCCGATGGAATTCGAGGAAAAGGTTATGTGCTTGAGAGTTTAAAAGCTGCTTTGTGGGCCTTTTGGTCAGATGACGATTCGTTTGAAAAGGGTGTTTTGGCTGCTGTCAATCTCGGTGATGATACTGATACAACAGCGGCTATTTACGGACAATTAGCTGGTGCTTATTATGGTTACAAAGCATTACCTCCTCGCTGGGTCGAACATGTCTATGCAAAGGACTTCATTATATGTTTGAGTAACTGGATTGCTTATCGAGGTGAAATATGGTTCCAACAGGAAGCATCAACTATAAACACTTCTAATCTACAATCAAAACTGTAGTGGAATAATACTAATAAAAAGATTCCAGTGTGCATACAATTGTCTTTTTATAAATCTTGTGAATATAAAAAAAGAAACTAATTCATAAAAAATAAATTTATAATTCAATGTTGTTCATAAACAAATCTAACAGTTCTATTGAGAATAGAAGTTTTATTATAAATATTATTTACTAGCAAAAATATAAAATTTATCAAATTATCAGAAACGTTGTCTTTATTGTTTTATTAAGGTAAGTATAATCTCAATAAATACATTTCTATTTGTAATACATCAGAATTTTTTATCAACAGTCAAATAGAAAACGACTTAAAAATTAATGATATCATTCGTCTTGAATTAATGTTCCATTGTTTAAGTGTTTAATAGACACGAAAATAAAATGAAGCTATCAATTATAATACGATTGCTCATTCAGATTTGAAAATGCAATTAATATTTTGGCTTTATATAAGATTCATCAATATAATCAATAAATGCGAAAACCTCGGATTTAAATCCGAGTGTTATGTGTACTTCAAAAAGTGAAAAGGTATATTCACTGTGTTTTTTATCACTAAATTGCAAGGAGAAAATACAGGCGTGCTAAGTT